AATATTGAATTTTAAAAATATATTATATAAAAATAAATTTTCATAAAAATATTTTACTCATTTTATAAAATATAATTTAAATTTTTTATAATTTATTTTTTTAATTATAATTTATTGAAAAAATAAACTTTAACTGTAAAAAATAATTTTAAGAAAATGATTATAATTTAACACCACTTTAAAGTATTATTTGTTTAATAAATAATTTTTTTACTTAATAATTTATATATTTAGTAATGTTTCTAATTTTTCTATTGAAAAATCATAAAATTAAATCAATTTTAAAAAAATATTATTTTAATAAAAAAATAATTTTGTTACTTCAATATAATTTATGTATTGTTGCATTATTTTATGTTTAAATGTTGGATAAAATCACATATTATGTACTTTATCGTTATAATGTTCGTAGAATAGAATTTGAATTTGTCATTCTCTCACTATATTATATTCTTATTCAACTCAATGAAAGTTATTCAACTCTTATTATATTTGAAATGCAATTACAAGATGTTAAGCATATCATGTGATTGTATAGTAAATAAGAAAATTAAATACTACATATGCTATTTTTAAATATATAAAATAATTGACATTAAACTATCAAATAACTCATTTGAAATCAGATAGATAAAATAATTTTAACTTATACCTATTATTATTTATAAATATCGATCCTTAAAAACACTTATACCTATTATTATTAAATAGTTTTTTAATTTAAAATTTGAAAGTTAACATTATTTAATAACTTTTTTAAAATTATTTTTTCATTACAAATCCTATTTTACTTTTGTCATCTCTGCCCATTGTTGGAGGTTTCGTTTTCTCCAAAATAGTTAGCACAGACATTAAAATAATACTTTTCTAATTTTATATTATAACTATAAGTTATTATTTATGAGTTTACGTGATAACATTGTTAACACAGTCTACTTTTAGAATAAGGACAATTTTTTAAGACTATAATTTTATAAATTTATTGCATTATGATCACTTTTGTTGACTATATAATATTGTTTTGTGACTTTTTAATTGTCGTAAAACCAAACAATTTTTGTAACAACAACTACAGTCAATCCTATTTGTTATAATAATTAATGCTATAAGGAAGCTTGTGAAATTATTGTCAGAAATTTAGCACAAATTGATTTTTTCAGCCACCATCGGTAGAATATTTGGGACAAGAAGGTGTTATCTTAGACAATTTTAAAAGAATACACTGTTTTTCCTTAGAAATGATTGAACTGAAGACATAATACTCTAATCTTAAGTTCCAATAAATTGGATGAGAAATTATAAAATACTATTTTACTCAATTTGGAAATATAATACCATGATTGTCACCAACATAACAAAATAACAATAAAAGACTAAAAAGGACCTTTCTATACTAAAATAACATAAAGAAAATTTGTACATTTTAAAAAACTATAATAAAAATAAATATTAAACATGTTAAATTATTTAAATACATATTATTGGTCCATTAAGAGGAGTATTGGGTACCCCTCAAATACCCAACACTGAACTAGAAAATGGTGAGTCAAGGAAAGGTGATCAGAGACAGAAAATTAACACGAGAATTTGTGTAGTTCAAACCAGATATTGGTGTCAACTGTCAAGGGTCCGTCATGGGTTTACTTTTTTCATTGCTTTTTTTTTCTTCACATTTGATTAATTTTTATATTTTTTATTATGTTTTTATGATAGTAAAAAATACTTTTATTTGTTTTTTTTTCCTTTTAAATTTAGTCTGGAATTTAAATTTTAAAATTATGTTCAAAATTCACTTCTAGAAATTAAATTTTGGAAGCTTCTATTAAAAATGCTATCGGAAACTTAATTATGGAAGGACATGTAAAAATAGTTAATTCTAAAAATGTAAAATTATATTTTTGAAAATATAATAGTTAATAATTTAAAAATTAAAATTTGAAATTTTTAAAAATAATTTTTAAAAAGTGTTAAATTTTAACTCTACAAAATTATTTTTAAAATTGTAGAATCCTAATTTTATAAACTTATTTATGAAAATAGTTTATTCTAAAAAGTCATTTTCAGAAATGTGAAAACCTAAATTTATAAATTAATTTTCAGAAGTGTAATATCTTGATTTCATAAATCTATTTTTTAATTTGTAGAATCCTATTTCTAAAATTTATTTTAAAAAATAATAATAATTCCATAAATTAATTTTTAAAAGTGTAGAAACATAATTTCAGAAAGTTTAAAATCTTAATTCTAAAAGCTTTTTTTTTTAAGAGTGCCAATGTACACACATTGATAAAAGTTGACAAAGATTTTATTTTTAACGATAAATTAAGCTTTTTTTTTTAATATATTCAATATAATGGATATATTTAGAGAATAATAGTACCTAAAATACACTAAAAAAATATAATGGAACAAGATAAAGCTTCAAATAGTGGAGAAGAAAAGCAAAATAAGATAAAAAAGAAGAATGAAGTTTAAAAAAGGAAAATATTATCATAAAATTTGAAACAAAAATATAGGAATTTTGGAGTTGTTTGATTTTGAAAAATATTTTTTATTCTTATTTAGTAATTTAAATTATTGTAAGTATATTTTATGGAAAAAAAATTATAAATATGATATATATTGTCGTGTAAAAAGGAAAAAAGGGTGAAAAAGCAACCCAAAGGTATGGCCCAATTTTAGGTATTGGATTTTGGGCAGAAAGTATATGCGGACTGAGGGGTTGAAACTGGGTTTGTGGCTTAGATAGGTGATTACCATTTAGACAAAATAAATAAATTAATAATTATAAGGCTTTTAAACTGTTCATTAAATCGATGAAAGTACACCAATTTACGATTTATTGATTTAACTATAGTGAAATTGGTCATAGTTAAATTATTATTCTTATTTTATATAATATATTAAATTAAAAATTAATACAATAAAGTAATATTTTAAATTTATGTCAACTAATTTTATTCTATATTTAATAAAAAATATAAAAACTTATATTTATTATAAAAAATATTTTGTTATATTCAAATAAAATGATTATATATATATATAGTGGTTAAAGGCTTCAGGCTTGGCTGTGAAGGGTTCAACGAGTTTGAGTCTTGCTAGAACCAAATTTTTATTTTATATAACTGCTGAACTCTCGTTACAGAGCCTTAATCGAACTGGTCATTTTAGTGTAGTTTTCATGATTTTTTATGCATACTTTTATCCCTATTTAAACCAATAACTTGCTCAAATCTTTTAGCCAACCCCCACAAGGTACTTAAGCCATATGCCTTCTTTTACTCTTGACCCAAAAAAATAAAAATAAAAAAAACAAAGAAAACAGGTTTCTGATTATGCTTTTTGACCAAATTCTCTGTCAAGTGTGTTTGATATATGAAACTTAGGGATAATTTTTCCTGAATAAAAACTTTATGGAATAAATATTAATAGATTATTTTTTATTGTTAGTTTTAGTTTTCTCATAGGCCAAAATTTTACTTAGAAATAGTATAAGGCCTATTCCAAAACTAATTGTAACTAGTAACAATGTTTATACATTCAACTATTCAAGAGGACAAAAACACAAATAAAGTAAAGGTAAGCTCTATCAAGTTTCATTACGCAAAAAATGAGATGTAAGAGCGGTTTCACTTGAATTAAGAGGGCGGTTAGTGGCATTTTAAAATCACGTGCTATCTAATGTCTTCATTTTTGGAGAGCAGTTACGCGGTTAACCGCTCTCAGAAGTTCACTAAAGAGAGCGGTTAATATTGAACCGCTCTCACAAGTTAAACTAAAGAGAGCGGTTGACAGGTTAACTGCTCTTTTATCTCAAACTTCTTAGCGCGGTTCAACCTGAACCGCTCTCCAAAGTTAAGAAATATTTTTAAATATTTTAATAAAATTGGCATAAAATATTTTTTTAGCATACTTGGTAAATTATACAGTATTCAGAACCAATTCAAACAGAATATAAAATTCAAACAGAGCCTAATATACTAGAATTATACATTTCCAGCTCACATAAAGTTTCAGCTATTTAGTTTTGCAAACATGGTAATCTCTCAGGATCAATCACTTTGCTACATATTGCCTTGAAAAAGAAACACAACTTCGTGATTGCCATGCGAACCTTCTTGGATAGAATAGACCGTATAGCAACAGGAATTAAATTCTCTATTAATATATGGCAATCATGAGACTTCAATCCTTTTAACTTTAGGTCCTTAAGTGATACAAGACTTTTAATGTTTGATGAATACCCCTTTAGAACCTTAACTGAATAAAGAGTCTTACATAAAGCACGTTTCTCATATCTAGACAAGGTACATGCTGTTGGCGGTAAAAAGGTTTGCTTTCCCTTCTTCACTGGAGCCAAATCGGATCGTATTCCTAACTTCACCAAGTCAAGTCTTGCATTGATGCCATCTTTCTTTGTTCTCACAATGTTTAATAATGTACCAATCACACTTTCACAAACATTTTTTTCAACATGCATAACATCAATAAAGTGTCTTTGACATCTTCTAACCTGCGGTTGGAATTTGTTTGGTAAAAGGTTTTCTAAATGTTATTCTTATATGTTTAACCTCATCAAGTATTTCTTCTCCACTCTTCAAATAAGGACATCGTCGTTCTTAACAACTTCCATTAAAAGCTTTTTTCATTTTTTTGAAAGGATAATTTTTTGACAACTACCTACGATGCCCCATGAAAACATTTTTGTGACAATGGTCTAGTCTTACATAATTTGTTTTTTCTGACACATGCACATTGACCTTTGATGCTGTAACCAGAAATATTTTCATATGCAGGAAAGTCATTAATTGTTCCATACAACATTGCCTTCATCAAATTTTTGTCTCTAAATTCGTCATATACTTCTATGTCATTATCCCACAACAATTTCAAATCTTCAATTAAAGGAGACAAGTACATATTAATGTCATTTTCAGGTTGTTTAAGACCAGAGATTAACAAAGAAAACATCATATATTTTCGCTTCATGCAAAGCCATGGAGGTAAGTTATACATTATTAAGATTACGGGTCATGTACTATAGGTGCTACTTTGCATGCCATGTGGATTCATTCCATCAGTTGCTAATGCAAAACGTATATTTCTTATTTCAGTTGCAAACTCTTCATGGTCATCGTCAAATTTTTTCCACTACAGAGAATCTGCTGGATGTCTAAGCTTTCCATCTCTAATTCGGCCTTCAGCATGCCAAGTCATCTGCTTTGCATTTTCTGCACTGCAAAAAAGACATCTTAACCTCGGTATTAGTGGAAAATACCACATGACATTCGCAAGTGTTGTGTCTTTCTTTAGGTATCGTGATACATTATACTTTGGACATTTTCTTAGTGATGCATACTCATTTCGGAATAAAATGCAGTCATTAGGACAAACATGTATTTTTTCATGGGTCAATCCAATGGAAGCAAGTACTTGTTTAGCCTTATATGTTCTCTTCGGCAGCACATTATCCTTCGGCAGCATCTCATGTAATAAACTTAATAGCTATGTAAAGCTCTTATTAGTCCATCCATTCGAGGCTTTTAAGTTATAAAGCTTTAAAACAGAACTCAATCTTATGAACTTTGTACATCCATTATACAATGGTGTTTCTACATCATCTTTCAGTCTCTCAAACATCTTTGGACAATCTCTAAGATCTTCTTCAACAACATTTAGAATTTGTTCAGCATAATCACTCTTATTTGTTCTAAATGTCTCTGATTAATTGACACTTAATTCCATGTTAGTTGATGTACTTCCACCTTGTATCTCACTGTGTTTTGTCCAACAAGCATATTTTTCATCTATCCCATTGTACATTAGATGTTCTTCCAATTTTTCCGCATTTACTTGTAACATATTCAAACAACACCAACAAGGACAGGGAATAAGGTTGACATCAGTTGCATTCTTAATCGCAAATCTAATAAACTCTTTGACTCTGTCTTCGTATTCTTCACTTAAACGATCAGCTACCATCCAACTTCGATCCATATTTGCTCTAACTACAGTTACGATCATTATAAATATGAATGTCTTATTAACTCTCACATGGTAGGGCCGTATCCCATTTGAGAACAAACTTTTTCCAACCTTAATTAACAAATGCTACTTAAATATTATATTTTTTACTTGACAAAATTTGGGAAGCATTTCGCATTAGTCTCCTAGTACACAACTTGAAATATATGAGATGATTTACCTCAATCAAGCATGCACCAAGAGACAATGAGAAATGCTTCAAACTCAAATTTTGTTAAGTATTAAATACAACATTATTAGAAGCAAATGCTAACAAATTAATGAATAAGTTTGTTCACAAACTGTCCAACTTGGACAATTTGATATTGAAAATAATGATTTATTAAACATTATTTTCAATCTCAAATGGGAGACTATGGTTTCACTCAAATTTACATTTGAAATCATAACCTACAAAGTTTAATCATTAACAATAATCATGCATTCATCACATTCTACAATACAACATCAAATTCATTCATACATAGAGGAAATATACATTTCGGGGGCAAAACAAACAAGAATATAAAAATTTTAAAAATTCTAATATCATAGGTTAACAAACACAACAACATGCTCTTGAATTATAATTAACCAGTGTCCTAATATCATGTCCAACAAATCCTAAAAAACCATTCCAACAACATTTCTGAGGTTAACAAACTAAGATTCAACTTGTCCATATCAACTTTTACAAAATAAAAAGTAATTTCATGCTTTTTGTTCACACAGCATCAATGGTCAACATGTTAACAATATTCAGTTCATACAAATTATAAACACAACAACATGCACTAACCTGGAATTAAGAAAGGAGTGCAAATTTGTCGCAGTTCAGCTAGAACCAGAAATGGAAGAGACGTTGTCACTGTTCAACGTCAAAAATAGAGGTACGTATCAGTGAATAGAGAGAATGAGAGAGTGTGAATGTCCAAACATAACTACAAAACAAATAAACGATTATGAATATATCTTCAATTTCTGATTGCGATGTCAGGTGTGCTTGTTTCTCTGCAAAAATTTCTCAAAGAACACTGAACAGAGAGAATTTTGAAGTGCAGACTTGGAGGGGCAACAAAGTTAACCAGATTAGGGTTTTAAAAATACAACATCTGAGAGTGGTTCCAATTGAACCGCTCTAAGAAGTATATATTAGAGAGCAGTTAAGGCGAAACCCCTCTCTTAGTATTTTATACAAAACGGTTATTACTAATCACTATCTAAGTAAGCGCTTTAGAATCCAATTTTTGGCGTAGTGTTTCCAAAACAGCTAGAACTACAACCTTATCTTAATAGTAAATAAAGGGTATGTTAATTCTTAATTAATGTAATATTTTTGTATTTAAAAGTTTATAGAAAATAAAATGTTTTCTGAATCCAAACGTTTTTTTTTTTTACTTGTTTACATTCGATCCGTCAATGAAATGTATGATAAGATGAAAAATAGATGGTAGGTTCAAATTTTTTATATACTATAATTTGGTTTATACTGCAGAGGGGGGAGGGGGAATCAATTATTATCACCATCAAAATATTATGTACAACGATTATTTTATTTTTCTTTACAGTGCTACTTTAGATGAATCTTCATAAAACTAGGTTTATTTTAAAAAAAGAAGAAGAAGATATACACAGGTCTTGATTATCCTAAGAGTTTTATTATTTAAACATCAAACTCTGAACAAATATTTGATATATCTTTATTTTTTATCAATCTAGATTCTCCAGTTTTAACATCAACATCATGATCTTGTTCATTACAGGGGAGAGTGAGTTTTTGTCTTTAAATTTTGATAATCCAGAGAGTCAGTTGGCTTCACCTGTGGGAGCAAAAACATGCTTTGTCTGAGGGAAGATGATTCAGACATGGAAACTGCAGCCATAAGAGTTGAGCAAGAAGATGGAATAGTGAATGAGGGAAGATGCTCAGACATGGAAGTTGCAGCCAGAAGATTTGACTTTGTTTCCCACACTTCTGATTGTCGCGAGTTGGTAGTTGCTTAGTTTGATCTCGTCCACATAGCTTGCGCGAACTGTTCATCTAACTTACATGTCACTGCAGTTTCCATGTTTAAAAAGGAAGAATTAACTTAAACAAATTTTATTTCACTTTAAAAAAATAAATTAGATGTTCGTGCCAAAACAGAAGGATTTAAATTCATTTCTTTTATCTCTTATTTTTTATATCTTTTTTTATGCACATATATATCCCAAAAATAATTTACAAAAATGAAAGGGACAAAATATTAAATTTATTTTATTTGAATTTAATTTAAATATACCAACAACTAAATTTTTTTTATAATGTCATTTAATTATAAATTATTATACCAACATAAGTCATTACTTATATAATAATAATAATAATTAATAAAATCATATTCACAGTGTATTTTAATTAATTGAGCACCATAATTAAATTCATTTTATTTTAGTTTATAATATATTATTTAAAATATTATATCCATTAAAAGTCTGGTCTAAATTAATCTCTCCCTCTTAATTGAGCATATATAGGATCCAAATGTTTTCTTTTTCCTAAATTTATGATTATTAAACTATGAAACCTATTATTTATTTATTTTTAAATAATGCTTAGTTGTATGAATGAAAACTCATTTACTATTTAAGCAAATGAGCTGGCACCAGTGCCACATATGATTAGAAGGTGGTGTTCGTGTTTTTCTTCTGTGGTGGTTTTCCTATTTTATCTCTTATGGGTTATTGTCTTATCATCATCATTTCATTTTAAGTTTCACTTCACTGTGTGCCCAATTTCAATCTCGTCATTCACTTGTCTATCTCGTTATCTCTTCCACACCATCACAATTCCATGTTCTCGATTTAACACCTGAATTTTAAGTATTCCATGTCTTCACTCTCTCAGTGCTTGCTTCAAAGGATTAGAATAATTGGAGTATTGACGTATCTAGTTAAAAGAATTTTTTTATGTGAAAGTGAGAAGAATATATTTTAGTAAATTTTATATGAATGATCAAAATTAAAACATATATAAGAACAAAAAAAAAATTAAAACATATAAGTCATCATCGAAATTGTTCACAAAATTACATAATTACGAAATTGTTCAGAGTTACAATTTTCACTTTTACGTAAAAAGACTCGATATATATATATATATATATATATATATATATATATATGATTCAAAAAGTTGGGTTTCGTAAATTCTTGTACATGTCTGCATGTGCATGATGTTCCTCTAAAGTTTGGCTTCATCTGCGCAGGTGACTTGGCGTATAGCAATCATGTTGCCATGTCAATTAATTCTCACGGAATGTACGTCTTAAATTGGCTTAATGAAAAAGGAAAAAAAAAAAAATTTCGCCAGGGGAGGGGGGGGGGGGGTGTTATACTACAGACCTGTTTAGAAAAATTTATATAAATAACTTATGACTTTGCTCATTTAAATAAATTTTAAAAATAATTTATTTTTTGTTTTAATAAATTTATGACATAAATTATGTTTTAAAAAAATATTGAATAAATTTGCACCGCTCAGTTGAATTAGAATATCTTGTCTTCCAGTGTCTCTGTCAGTTTCTATCCAATTTATTCAAAGTTATGATTCAACAAGAAATAAGTACCAAAGATAATGAATCTAATTAAGAGTATGTTGAAACGATTCTTGCATGTTACCAGGCAATGTACGGAATACTTTGTACCAACTTTACTTTCTTGGGTTGTAACTGAGCAACCATTGTTATTGTAAAAGACAGTTGGGGGGTCCCTATCTCGAAACCACTTTTGTTTGCTTACTCCAAACTCTTCTTTTGCTATTCTGATACTTCTCTTGCTTCTCTCAATCAGCTCCACCTTCCTCTTTCTTTATCCTATTGCTATGTTTTACCAATTTCACTTTTGACAATGAAAGGATCAGCTTCAAAAGGTGCAGTTAATGATGGGTTAAAGGAAAGTATAGATTGGGAGCTAAGACCTGGTGGCATGCTTGTTCAGAAGAGACAACCCATTGAGTCATCTTCTACTGCTATGATCAAAATTAAGGTCTCACATGGTTCTTATCACCATGAGATCACTGTTCCTGCTCAATCCACTTTTGGTAAGCATAGGATAGGATAGGATAGAATCTTTTGCATTTTGGAGGAGTATTCTGTCCTTTGGTTTTCTAGTATGAAAAGGGAACACTTACAATAGCCTGTTTTGAATTCACCAATTGTTCATTTTATAAGGGTTTAATCTAATCAGAAGTATTAAGTGGGCAATTTCTTTTATGGTGATCAGTTAGCTGATGTTTGAATTAGTACTTGAGCTTTTTATGGAGAAAATTTCATTTGTTTGGTGTTGAGAATGATTCATCAACCCCCCCCCCCTTCTTTCCTTTTCTTGTTGATTTCTTTATCTGACATTGACCTTGCTGAAAGTATACGTTTGGTATGCTGAATGCATCATTCCTTGTGTAGTGTCATCCTTTATTGTTTTTATTTATATAATATATTGCACTATTTATTATAAGATTCGTAAAAGTAGTTTTAATTTGGCTTTATGGGGCATTTGAGTATTGGTATTAGAATAGGCTTGTAGAGTTGTTATTCCAATATTCGCAATTAGATTCTGAAATTGATGCCTAACGCTCTATTTTGGCTCAATGGAAGGCCATCTAAAAGTGGTGCTAACATCTGAGACTGGTCTTGAGCCTAAGGAACAAAGGTTACTATTTAGAGGGAAAGAGAAGGAGGATGAAGAATGCTTGCATATGGAAGGATTGAAAGACATGTCTAAGGTTATATTGTTAGAGGATCCAGCAAGCAAAGAGAGGAAGCTTGAGGAGATGCAGAAGAGTGAAGATATTTTGAAGGCATGTGAAGCAGTCTCCAGTGTTAGAACAGAAGTTGACAAGCTATATGAAAAGGTGGTATTACTTATCATGAAAATTGAAACACGTTCACTGAAAATTTGAAAATAAGACTAACTAATATTTGATTATTGTTAGGTGGTTGCTTTGGAGACAACTGTTTGTGGTGGTACTAGGATTGAAGACAAAGAATTTGTTATCATGACAGAACTGCTAATGGTTCAACTGCTTAAACTGGATTCCATTACTGCTGATGGAGAAGCCAAAGTACAGAGACGTGTTGAGGTTAGTAATAGCTACCTGTGATTCTTTGTTAGAACAATTCTTTTATAAGAATACAGTGTTTATAGGCACAACCAATTTAAAGCTTAGCATATATTTAAATGGTTTTTCTAACATGTTTCCAACACATGCAATAAAAAATTTATAAATAGATTAAAAATTATAGCATTTAATGTTATCAATGTATTAGATTATATGATATCCTGTTATTTTTAATAAAAAGTTATTATCTGTAAATTCTTATTGTTTATTCTTGACTGTATATTAGAAGAATAAATATTTAAATAATAATATAGATGGCAACAAAATCGTGTAATTTTAATATTATCTTTGAGCTTTTAACTAATTGGATCTGTCTATAGAACTTGACTTCTCATTCCTGATAGTAATTTTCAATGACTCACGTTTTTCATTCACAAAACTGATATGTGACCCGTATTCTAATAAAATTAAGGGATAAATGTCTATGAAAAATTGGAATTCAGATATCAAATTGTGGGTATAATGCAGAGTTATGTTCTTTACAAATCCAAACACAGGCATTGTAATAATCTTTGTTAACAAGACTAAGTGCACTCCATCCTAAAATAGAAGAGCAAGGAAATGCCATGAAAGTATTACATAAGATATTAAAATCTAAAATACAATTGCTAATCATACTTCTCTTTGAAATAGTTCCTGCCACCTTAAATGCAGATTCCAAATTAATTATTGACCCTCACATATAAGTCTTGTAAACAGGTTCGTCGTGTACAAAGTTATGTAGACACAATTGACAACTTGAAGGCAAGAAATTCCACTACTTTTAGCAATGCTGCTAGTGCTAACAATCCAGTCTCTGTGATAACTAAATGGGAGGCCTTTGAATCAGGAGTTGGAAGCTTCAAGTCACAAACTCCATTTCCATCATCAACTGTGATTACTCAAAACTGGGAACACTTTGAATGAGTACAAGTTCTGTTGTTTATTTCAAGAAGAGGCTTACGGTTCTATAAACACTTGGTCTTTAATTTCTAATGCCAAGTAGTTTTCAGTAGGGAAGGGTCATGCTTGTACAAATTAATACATGTTCGTGTTACTTCTCTATGCCAAAATAAACACCCGATTTTGCTTCCTGTTCTCCATCACTAATATGAATCTGACATAACAATAATAATTACAATAACAGTTTTACTTCTCTGAATTTGAAACAGATAGATTAAATTTATTTTCTTTATCTTCCAGATTTATTTATGAGTACTCAATTTTCTAAATATATTATTATATCTATTATTCAGCATTTAACCAAATCCTTATACACAAAAAGTTAGTACATTAAATTAATATGGACTTATTGTTATGTTAGTGATTCAGTATAGAAAAGTAAAAAACTATTCAAAGTTTACAATTAAATAGAAGATTTTTTTTATATGAATTAAAATTTGAGATTATTATAATCTTAATCTATTTTTATATATTAAATGTGAGTCATCATTCTTAAACAAGAGTATATTTAATTTTAATTTTAAAAAAATTATATCTTTAATCTAATTTTATATAATAATATAGACTACTATTTATTATTATTGAAGTTATTAACTTTTAAAATTTATCAAATTTAAAAATGATTACACACTATATCTTTAATTTCTTATTTAATATATTATTTTGAAATATCTATGCAGTACAAAAAAAAATTATTAATTAATTTAAATTTTATTTTTTAATTTTGACATATCATATCAATAAAAATTATGCATTTAGATTTTAATAAATTATTTTTTTAATTTTATGTTCAATTTTAAAAGATTTATATCTTTAATTTATTTTCAGTTAATTAAAGTATATTCATTAGTAATAATTAAAATGTATATTATTTGTAGAACTTTCAAAAAGTTCAGCTAATACAGCTTAACCCTAGCCTAATTTATGTGAGTTAGGGTAAAAAAATTTAAGAAGTCAAAAAGTTCAATAAATTAAAAGCTCTATAAGTCATGTTTAAGGTAGAGATGTCAAAATAGATTTGACCCAAAAAAATTGGTGGATCAAACTAAATGCTATAAATCTATTAGTTCAGCTAGTCCATCTCATTTTAGTCTGTTAAAATGCGAGCTAATAACAGAACAAAGCGGACTGGCCCGTTAGGTATAAATTTTATTTTTTTAAAATAATAAATAATAAAATATTAATTTTTATTAATATAAAAATAATTTTTTATTATTTGTTGTAATTTTTATTTTATTTTTTGGTTAATTTTTGTAGGTTAGCCCATTAATCTAATAGACTACTAACTTTTTCTTTATTTTTTAGTTTTTGACGGTTAGTCTATTAATTTATGGTTTAGAATTTAAGATTTAGGCCCTAAAGGCTGAACAAGGCCAACAAATTTTATTTATACCACATGATCTCAAAATCAGCTATTATCAATAAAGTTGCGACTCAAGGAGCATAGCTTTTGTAACAAAATAGACATAAAAAAATAGTAGCAAATTATGAAAAAAAATTATATATAATTTCATGTTAAAAAAATTAGATAAAACTCCTTATTTTTCTACTTAATTTACCATCATGTCAACATTTAAAATTATTAGAATTTGCCAAGAACATTAGCAGCACTGTGTTGACATGGTTCTAGCCTTACCACAATTCAAAAGCAAAGACATTATTTACATACTGTTTTATATCTCAAGGAAAAGGATGTCAGCGTAACTTCATTAATGCAGCAACATGAAACACACTTTCCGTGATAAAAATCAGAAAGATTACCATAAATCAAAAGCACAACTACTTTGTTTAATGAGAATGCTGGAAAGACTTGCTAATGCGTTAGATACATCACCTTCTCTATCTGTTAAAGCCCTGTAATGTGCTAATGTGCTAGCAAGGATCAAGCAAGTATTCTAATGTGCCAGGGCTAAAGGATGAAAAAGTTAAGGTAATCGGATATATTGGTCTTGAATTGTGCTTTATTGTCAGTGGTTAATAAAAGGAAGAAAAATTTGAAAAAAGTGTACATTTGATTAAATTAAACGGTGAAAGTATGCTTGTGTGTATATTTCAGTACAACGTACAAAACAAGAGCTTTTTCTGAGTTGGCAAAATTGGTACAAGGGTATTCTCCGTTGATGGATGTTGATCCACATAATGAACAGAGAATCAAATACAAAACTTAATAGCAAATTGCAAATACAGGCAAAATTAAATTTAAAAAAAAATCCTTCATAGTTTGAATCAAGTAGAGGTGTTTTTGTACTAAAGAAATCCTTCAACCCCACGTCCTGTTCTAGCATTCCTATATAGGTAGGTGCTTCTTCCATAATCTGAGCTTGAGCAAGCAATTTTGCTCTCTTTCTTACACAGACGGATGAGTAGAGAGAGAATCTCTCTGGGCAGACTCAACAGTCACTTTTCCCAACTTCTCATACACTTTGAGTGCCAGCAGCAGCCCAATGCAATCGGCTTCCATTTCCATCCTATAAATTGGGTTATGGTTCAAAATTTGCTGCCCAAAAATATTTGCATTAAAGATACAGTCTTGCTAATCAGGGCCTTAAAAACATTAGTAAATGAATCAATAGATAAATCCACCCTCCCCAAACTCCATTCTTTTGCTGTTTCTGTGAGTTAGTTGTTTAAGCGAAGAAGACAGCTGCCGGAGAAAGTCAGTGGCTTGTGCAAACTCGTTTGAATTTTTCTGAAGTTTCTTAAAATTCACTTAATCAAGCTTGTAATTACACAAAACAATAACAATCATTGTCTCAACTAACAAAAATAAAATATACATCTCTCTCTAACAATAGGGTCTATTATAAATTACTTAAAATCCTAAATGATTACAAAAATATATAAATATAAAAATATATATATATATATATAGAGAGAGAGGCTACATGATACGAAGACTGACGTTTGAAGGATGTAAAAATCCAAAAACCTTGTTGAAGATTCCAAACTGAAAATACAATCCAACATTTGTAAATATTCGCGATTTTAATTATATAAGTTTTGAAATAAAAAAAATTATCTATTTTAATCACAAATATATTTTATAGTTTAATTTAATTTTTTTAAAACAATATCAAAATTAAATTAATATAATATAATCTTCTACGATTTAGATTGAATTTATTTATTTTTTCATTTTTCTCTTTGTTTTAAGGAATAATGTTTTTTATTCTTATGGTATGTTTGGAAAAGAGGTTTTGAGAGAGAAGAAATAGAAGAAAATATATTTTTTAATTTTAAATTAAAAATTTTTATATTATTTATAATGATAAATCTATAATTAATATATTAATTTATATTAATATATTAATTTTTATTTTTATTTAAAAATATTAATTTAAATATAAAATTCATATTTCTTTTCCCTACGTTTCTAACCAATTCTTTAAGAAACAATATTTTATTATTTTCTATCCATAGATAAATTAAATTTTATTAATTAGAGTATGAATAGATTTTAAACATATTTTTTTATTTAATAAACAGCACTTGTTCAATAAAAAGTCAAATACATAATAAATACAAAAGGAAATTTTAAAAAATTAATAAATATGATGATAAATCATAACTTAGTTTGACTTATAAATCATAAGTCAACATATTTTCAAATACGTTTAAAAAATATAAATAAAATATGTAAAAAAAATTTAAATTAGCGTGTACATAATAGTAAAAAAATTATGGTTCAGTTTAATTTTGAACATATAAATAAAAAATTAAACCAGATTACATAAAAATTATACTTTTTTTTTCAAAATATTTGATGCACAATTTGTTAAGTTTTATTTTTTAACTGATTTAATAGTTTAAAATAATTTAAATTAATTCTTACAAGTCTAATATTTTTTAAAAATGTTATTTTTTAATTGATTTAATTGTTTAAAATAATCAAATCAACAATCAACATTAATCTAAAAGCCATTTTCTTTGCTATTATCTAAAATCAATATTAATATATAGTAAGCAACATTAATATATGATAGATGAATTGATAAATATAAGTACGATATATTTTAATTTAAACTAAAATTCCTATTTATAAGATATTTTAAAGTTTTATTAGACACTTGAATTAACTGAATTAAATATAAGTGTTTTTAATAAAAGATATATGTAATATTAAAAAAATAATTTAAATAAAAAATAAAAATATTTAATTAATTAATTAATAATACTAATCAAATCTATATTATTATATTAATTTGTGTACTTATACATGATATGATAAAATTAAACAGAACTTAGTCAAAACTTAATTAAAAAGTTGAATACCAGTTTCCACCAACAAATTAATTAATTTTAGCCGGGTGCCTTTTTTTTCTCTCTTACATTTATTTCATGCTATAACAATATTTGTTTGTTAAGAAAAAACCATAAACGAAAATATTTTAGAGTATTTTAAATTAAAATATTTTTTAAAAAAATTATTATTTATTATGTTATGTAAATTATTTTATATTTAGAATTTAATTTTTAAAATTTTTAAATTTATTTCTTAATTTAATTTTATTTAACATATTAGAATATTTATTATTAATAATAAATTTATTTTTAAATTTTTAAATTTAAAAATTAATTATATAATATATCTTTCCTTTTTATTAAAAAATACCTTAATATAATAATATCTGTGTAATGTATGACAAAGTCATTAGTAATGTGAAATTCTAAAAAAAATTAATAATCTCTAGGGATGTCTTTGACTAGCAAATAAATGGGAGTTGTTTCTGTGGTCCAGATTACCATCACTCTAAAATGCAAACAAACAAAACAGTATCTAATCATTGTACAAAATAAATTTTCTTCTGAAAATTTTTCAAATTGATATATAAGTGTGACTTGGGATGCTAAAAATAAAATAAAATAAAATTCTCTACTAGCTAGTTAAAATGCTCAATTAAAATATAGGTAATTTTTAAATATATTTATTTAAATTATACTAACCTTCAATTTTGTTTAAAAATTATGTATTCACTTTTATTATTTTCCTTGTACATACGGAATTGGATAATTAATTAATTCTTCAAGATCATCGCCTAATGTCAAATTAGTTGGCAATAGCCCATTTTGGTGTATGTAAAACAAAATATACTAACAATTATGCAGATCCAG